TTGAAGTGCTAGTATATTTTTGAACAGGGAGTGGGTTGATAACAGCATTCATGTACCCACAACCAGGTAGGCAGATGAAACCTTAAAGGTGGTAGAAAGAAATATATAAATGTAGATGTAGAATCCATCAATATTAATAACACTTTGTACTTGAAAAGTACTTTCCTCCTCCAAACTATTTTCACATACATTATTTCATTTAATCCACTTCATGTCTCTTAATTCTTCTTTGGACCATTAGTTTTATAAGATGGAATAACTTTTCTTAAGTTTACAGAAAGACAGAGAGCTTTAGTACTGAGAAAACCCAAGGCCTAAATAGGAAGACAGCCATGAAATTATAATGCTTTGTTTATTACATGCAATCCAATAATTCTAATAAACCTTTGGAATTTACTGTTTGGAGGGAATGAGAGGGTGGTTTGTTATGGTGATTTAAAAACAAAAAAAACAAAAACAACAGAAGTCGTGTTGCCTAAGTTTTTTATCTCAAATTCTTCCCTCTTAAAATATAAGGAGGCTTAGGAAATTTCATGGAAAAATGGTATTAAAAGACAATGGTATTTTTCCACAAACATTTTGAAGCCCGCTTATATTACTGCCAATTTGCTCTGTAAGGAAAAGCTTTCTAAAGAAAGAAGCATTTACTGAGGCAATTCCTGTCTCCCCCATAACTTGCCCTCCTTCTTAGCTTAGAAGAAGGCTCACTGTACATGTGTTACTGTTTGGTTACTCATAGTCTTTGGTTATTAATGTTGTTAAGTGCCATCGAGTCAGTTCCGACTCATAGCAACCCTATATAGGGTTTCTGAGGAGCAACTGGTGAGGGCGAACCACCAACCTTGCAGTCCAGCGCATTAACCCACAGCGCCACACCACAATCTTTGATTATTACTAGTCATAACAATAATAAGTCAAACCCAACCAGTTACCACCGAGTTGATTCCAACAGATGCTGGTTGCATGCACGTAGGTTAGAGTAGTAGCCCTGTGTTGGCTGGGGTTGTCAGTGGCGGGGGTTTTTTGGAAGTAGATAACCAGACCTTTCTTCCGAGGCACGTGAGTAGATTTGAGTCTCCAACCTTATGGTTAGCACATGAGTTAACAGTGCCACACAGGGATTCCAGTAACAATAATGGTGTTGTTAAGCGCCCTTAAGTCCGTTCTGACTCATAGCAACCCTGTATAGGGTTTCTGAGGCATGTCTGGTGGGTTTGAACTGCTGTCCTTATGGTTAGCAGTTCAGTGCTTAACTTACAGTGCTACACTTGTTGTTAAGTGTCATCAAGTTGGTTCTCATTCATACCCTACATAGGGTGGTTTCTGAGGAGCGGCCAGTGGGTTTGAACTGCCGACCTTGCAGTCCAACGCTCATCCTACAGTGCCACGTTAGCTACCACCTGTTTACCTTGGGTTTGTGATCTGGCAAGCCGCGTGCTATGTACATTAACTTGCATTTCCTCATTATTAATAGAAAACCCTCTAAGATAAACCTTCTCCCTGCCCCGCTGTGTGGGCAAGAAAAGAGGCGTCTAAAGTGATTAGATCATGTGTCCAAGTCCTCTGCTTCCAGCAGCCAGTTCTCGCTGAGAACACCAGTCGGGGGTGACACAACCGGAAGCTCCATTTTCATAGCTCCTTTAGTCTTGTTTTTGGTGGAAACTTAGTTCAAACGGCTTTGCAGTCTGGCGCATTAACACACAGCGCCACACCAGAACTCCAAAAGCATAGACACAGATCTTCTAAACATCACCATGGCAACAACAACAACAAAAATCAGACCCATTACCATCACATGGATTCTGACTCATAGTGACCCTGTGTAGCAGGGATGGGGAACCTTTCTTCTGCCAAACTTTATAACATCATTCACAAGTCACACAAAATTATCAGCTTAAACGTTTCCAGGACCTTACACAGCCGGCCTACTGGCCGGACATCCCCCAGTCTTGCTATATAGGGTGTCCTAGGCTGAATCTTTAGGGGAACAGACAGCCTCATCTTTCTCCTACATAGTGCCTGCAGGTTTGCCCTGACTCACAATTTTATCAGAGTTCCAATTCCATTTCACTTGAGGATTTTGGTAAAATACAAAACTTGAACTCATAGTCTTGGTCTATCCCAGAAATGTCCAGTGGACCCAATTCTTAGAATGGTTTGATTGAGAGGTTGCTCTAGGGAATAATTTGCTGGTGTACTCAAGCATATTACAATTTCTTTCCAATTCTTCTTGTAAACCACCACTGGGGTGGGATTAAAAAATGACTGCAAATTTCATTTGCCTTCCTTTCAGAGAGCTAGGAACTGATCAGCAAATACATCTACTAGAATTTTAAGTATCTACTTCACATACAGGAGCTCTGGTAGCGTAGTGGTTACGAATCGGGCTGCGAACCTTAAAGTCAGCAGTTTGAAACTACCAGCCGCTCTTTGGGAGAAAGATGAGGCTTTCTGCTCCCGTACAGATTTACAACCTCGGAAACCCTGTACAGGGTCGCTATGGGTCAGTTCCGACTGCACGGCACATAACCACCACCACCACTTGACATACATCTGGAGTCCTGGTGTGGCGCTGTGGGTTAATGCGCCAGACTGAAAAGCCGTTTGAATTGCAAGGTCAGTGGTTCAAGCTCACCAGCTGCTTCTTAGAAACCCTATACAGGGTCACTGTGGGTTGGAACTGACTTGACGGCAATTCCCAGCAACAACAACACTTGACATACATTGGATTGGAGGTCCTGGTAGTGCAACAGTTAAGTACTCCGCTGCGAGCAAAAAAGTCTGCAGTTTGAACCTAGCAGAGGCTCCAGTAAGGCCTGCAGCCTCGGTAACCCTCTGGGGCAGTTGTGCTTCCACCTGTAGGGTCGCTGCACACAATGTCACATGCTAAAGATGGTTCGACCTTCTCAGAGTGTGAAGCCGTATGGCACAATGAAAGATATAAAGTGATTTCATTACTGTGCCAAGCCTGGATGCCACAACGGAGAGGTCCCTCTGAAAACTCTGTGTCTGATGTTCTCATGAATGGAAATAAACTTCCAACAAGAGTTGCTCAGGATCACACTGAAAGATCTCTCAAAACACTTGCTGCTGTTGGTGATGAGTGCTGCTGTGTTGGTTCCGACTCATTGCAACCCTGTATAACATTTCCAAGAAGCACTGACCTTAGGGAAAATCCTTAAAAAGTCTTGAAAACCCTTTGTTAAAGTGTTATGTGGTCTGGTAGCATTGTGGCTGCAAATCGGGCTGCGAACCTCAAGGTCAGCAATTCGAAACTACCAGCTGTTCCGTGGGAGAAAGCTGAGACTTTCTGCTTCCGTAAAGATTTACAGCCTCGGAAACCCTTTGCAGGGTCACTGAGTGGGACCGACACTACCACCACCAAAGGAATTTTAATCTCTTTAAACAGGAATGGTGCTACTTTTGAATAACAAAAGTCCAACATGACTTATCCTCATTTTTGTCTGAAAGAGGGCTTCGTTGTAAGTGCCTTCTAGTCAGTTCCAGGAGTCCTGGTGTGGTGCCGTGGGTTAATGTGCCAGACTGCAGAGCTGTTTGAACTGCAAGGTCGGTGGTTCAAGCTCACCAGCTGCTCCTGGGAAACCCTATACTGGGTCAATATGGGTGGGAACCAACTCGACAGCACTTAACAACAATAAGTCAGTTCCAACCCTGTGTAAAGTTTTTGAGAAACAGCTGGTGAGTTTGAACTGCTGACTCGCAGTTCAGCCGACCTTTCAATCCAGTGCTTTATCCTACAGCGCCACATCAGGACTTTTAGTAGAGTAGGCTTTGTTGTCACTAAGTGCCATCAAGTTGGTTCCGACTCATAACAACCCTATATAGGGTCTCCGAGGAGCGACTGGTGAATTTGAACTGCCAACCATGAGGTTCACAGCTGAAAATACAGACTGCAGTGTGATCTGGATTTGTCAATGACCCGTTAGTATCACCTGGAGGGCTTGTGAACACTGACCGCTGGGCCCACCCCCAGACTTTCTGACTCATTAAGTCTGGAGTGGGTATCAGGAAACATGCACTTGTAGAGTGGTCCTGATGCAACTACCTGGGAAGGAGGCTTTGAGAACCATCAGCTTATAGCATTTCAGAGCCAAAGCAGTGAATTCCACTCTATTCCATCCTGTCCTGCATGCCACTGGCCAGTTTTGTTAGTGAGTGCTGTCGAATCAGTTCTGACCCATAGTGACCCTGTATAGGGTTTCCCAGGAGTGGCTGGTGAGCTTGAATCGCCGACCTTGTGGTTCAAACCAACCCTGCAGTCCCGTGCATTAACCCATAATGCCACACTAGGACTCCATCTGGCCACTGGCCACAGGGGGCGCTAAAGGATGGAAAATGGATGGCTCCAGTTAACCCATCTCTCTACTAAGGGGGAGAATGTGTCAACAAGACAGTCAGCCCCTAAATGTTACCAATGGAAGACCACTAACGATGCATTCAGATGCTCACTGTTCATTCATTTATTCATTCATTCAGTTCCGCCACCCCCGGATTCCAACATTAGTGTTCCCATCATACTGATATAGTTCTAATTGTTGTTGTGTGCTGTGGAGTCGGTTCCAACTCATAGCAACCCTGTACAGGGTTTCCGAGGATGTAAATCTTTACGGGAGCAGAAAACCTCAACTTTCTCCCGCACAGCATCTGGTAGTTTAGAACTGCTGACCTTGAGCTTCACAACCTGATTCGTAACCACTACGCTACCAGAGCTCCTTATAGTACTAATTAGTGTAGGACATTTTCATTGTTCTCTTTGGAGACCAAGACTTGAGTTTAACCCTGGTTACAGATCACCACGTTGAAAGTCAGACTTCTCATTAGTAATAATGTGTCCTTGCTTGGTCTTCCATTTGTTTTGATCCCGCATCTCAGTAGAAATGCTCAACGCCACACATTTCAGAGCCCCATCCCCCCACCCCCAGCTCCCCATCTTGCTGTACTGTGGTGACTGAGAGACCCTTGTCTGTTTATTGTTGTAGTCAGTGAAAGGGGACGGAGGGAACACCGTCCCGGAAGGAATCAATGGGAAAGGATCCGCCTGCCAAGTAAGTGATGTGTGGACTCGGTTTGGTGGAGGGCTTAGCTGCTCTGTTCTCACTTCTTTCCATTCTTGCTGCCATTGCACGTCTCAGCCACAGCCACACCTAGATTCTGCGCTTGATGTCCACCAGGCACCATAGTGTGCTCTGCAGATAGATGCACAGGCAAGCCTGGGTTGCTCAGCTCTCTCCTATGGCAACATTCTGCACACGCCCTTCCTTCTTCTTTCCGTGGAAAATTCCTTCCTCTCCTTCAAGTCTTGGCAAGAATGTCACCTCCTCAAAGAGATCTTCCTTGTCTGTCTGCCATCGCTGGGACTTGTTCTTTTACTTCATGGTGATGGGGTTAGTGCCATTGAGTCCAATCCAAATCATAGCCTTCCTGTTTAGGGGTTCCAAGGAGCGGCTGGTGGGTGAGTTTCAACCAACAGTCTTGAGGTTAACAGTTCAGTGCTTATCCTACAGCACCATGCCAGGATCCTTACTCCATGGTACTTATCACAAGTTGTAAAGATTCACCGGGTGGGTAGTTGTCTCTCTTCCCCACCCTTCTCACCTCCATCTGGAGGGCGTGTTCTTGGATTTTTCTACCACTTGGCATGGTGCCTGGCATACAGTCCAAGCTATTTCTTGAATCGATATGTGAAAGAATCAGGTTCCTGTGGTTCATTTCCATGATTTTCTGTATCTATAGAAATATAGCTGTGTGCTTTTTAATTTTTTTTTTTTTTAAATTAACTCATGCTCAGCATCCTATTTTATAACCTGCATTGGTTTTTGTTTTGTTTTGTTTTTTGAGTGTGGTGACTTTGTAGGATAAGTACTGGACTGCGAACCAGAAGGTCAGTAGTTTGAGCCCACCAATTGCTCCACAGGAGAAAGATTCGTTTCTGCTCCCACAGAGATCTACAGCACCGGAAACCCCATACAAGGTCGCTATGAGTCAGAACTGACTCCAGGGCACTTAACAAGAACAACTTTTAAATTTTTTTAGCTGAAAACTGTACCTTTGTGAAAATGTCATCCAACATTCCTCTGTTGATTTTGGCAGTAGTGAGAACTGACTAAGAGTGTGTACTGTGGACTCAGATTGCCTGAATTTGAATCTTGACTTTATTTTGGCATTATAAACGTTGTTTATCTGTATAACTTGAAACAAATTAGCAAACCTCTCAGTTCCTCGGTTTCCTCATCTGTACAATAGGCTAGTAACAGTCCTGGCTGGTAAAATCATCATGGTTAGGTGACTTGCTGTATGTAAAGCCAGCACTTAGAGTATGTTATTGTTGTTAAGTGCCATCAAGTCAGTTCCAACCCACAACAAGCCTGTATAGGGTTTCCGAGGAGCAGCTGGTGAGCTTGAACTGCTGACCTTGCAGTTCAAACCCATTTGCAGTCTGGCACATTAACCTATAGCGCCACACCAGGACTCCACTTGGAGCATGCCTACTACCAACCTAGGGCCATGGAGTCAATTCCAACTCACAACGACCCCATACAGGGTTTCAGGGACTGTAAATCTTTACAGGAGAAGACAGCCTCACCTTTCTTCTGCAGAGCAGCTTGTTGTTGTTAGGTGCCATCGAGTCAAAACCGACTCATAGCGACCTTATGCACAGCAGAACGAAACACTGTCCAAACCTGGGCAAACCTCACTACTGTTGCCACACTTGAGTCCATCAATGCTGCCCCTCGGCCAATCCATCTTGCTGGGGGTCTTCCTCTTTTTCTCTGACCCTCCACCTTACCAAACATGATATCCTTCTCCAGCGACTGTTCCCTCCTGACGATATTCCAGAGCAGCTAGTGGCTAGCAGCCCGGCACCTAACCCACAGGGCTCCTTTGCCTGGTACGGAGGACTCCGGAGATGGGTGCTGCTGATTGTTTAGTTACCATTACTGTAGTGATGCTTCTGGGAGGAAAGTATTGTGGCTGTAGAGCCGGGCTGGGGAACATCCAGCCTGTAGGCCAAATAAGGCCCACAACATCATTTGGTCTGGCCCTACCAAGGCATCACATAAGGGACGTGTGGATTCAATGTTTGACCAACTATGTTGCTGTTGTTGTCAAGTGTCGTTGAGTCGATTCCGACCCATAGCGACCCTATATAGGGTTTCCAAGGAGCAGCTGGTGAGCTTAAACCACCGACCTTGCAGTTCAAACAGCTTTGCAGTTTGGCGCATTAACCCACAGCGCCACACCAGGACTCCTTGACCAACTATAGCAGGCTAATTTTTTATTTTTATTTGTTTAATGTTTTATTGTATATTGTGTGATAGTCTACATGGGGGAACATTAGTTTTACATTCATTCCATCATACATCGTCTCATTGCCATAGTTACCATCACGTCCATGCATCATCACCCAACCAAAGGGTGTACCCTGCAATCCCGCCCACCATCCCCTCACGGTCCTCAGCACACAGCCCCTCGCCCTCTCTGGATCCCTAGTCCCCAGCCATTCCATCTCTTCACGTCATCCTCTCTGTCTCAGTCTCAGGCCTCACTGCTCCTCTGGGTGGGGTCCCGCTCTCTGCTCTTTTCCATTGATGGTCCCAGGGCCCTCCACTCCTAGACTGAAAGGTTAATCACTCTCCGCCTTGCTATAAAATGTCCACCTTTACATTTCCAGTCCTCACAATCAGTCCTGGTAACAATTATTCACCCTTGCTTCCCAAGGGACTCATCATAGCAGGCTAATTTTTAAGTTGATAATTTTGTATAGCCCACAAATGATATTATAAATTTTGGCATAAAAAAGGTTCCCCACCCCTGCTCTAGTGTGGTGCTGTGGGTTGATGCGCTGGACTGCAAGGTTGATTTGAACTGCAAGGTAGGCAGTTCAAGCTTACCAGCTGCTCCACAAAAAACACTATACAGGGTCACTATGAGTCAAAATCAACTCAACAGCACTTAACAACACCAACAACTCCTGCTCTAAAGGATAAGCACCGGACTGAGAACCACAAAGTCAGCAGTTCAAACCCACAGCAATTCCTCTGGAGAAACATAAGGCTGAAAAGATTTACCAATCCTGATGTGGCGCTGTGGGCTAACATGTCAGACTGCAAAATCGTTTCAACTGCAAGGTCGGTGGTTCAAGCTCATCAGCTGCTCCTCAAATACCCTATAAAGGGTTGGCATCGACTTGACCGCACTTAACAACAACAAAAACATGCATATACAGGGTCACTGTGATTGGAACCAACTGCACAGTACAGTAACAACAAGAGCAGTATTGCTCACATGACACACTCAGAGCTGGTGACTGAGAACTCTCAACAGTGTGCAGTGTTCCCGTTGGCACAAAAAGTGACTGCTGGCCATTCAACTCACTGTGACTGAGACCTATAGTGCGTCCGTGCCACCCTGGCACCAGGGACCAAGCACAGAAGGGTGAGATGGAGCAGTCGTAAGTGAGCAGTAAGTGCCCATCGTGATGAGTGCTGGAGAAGCAGCAGAGCACGGCTTCCCAAGAGAGGAGGCCGGGCGTCTTCCAATGGGAGAGCCAGGGACTGCATCTCCTAGGGGCTGGACTCTCCAGGTGAAGTCCTGGGACTGGAATACACGGGTGCCTGGAACACAGGCGGGAGAGACAGAAGAGACGATGTAACATTCAGCAAGTATTTGCGGGGCTTCCTCTGTACGGTGATGAAGGCTGAGGACACAGAGATAAAAGTGTCATATAACAGACCCGTATAACAGCCAGAAATCTAAACCTGTTGCAGCCAAGTCACTTCCAACTCATAGCGACCCTGTAGGCAAATGTAGAACTGCTCCCACAGGTTTTCCAAGGCTGGCAGTTCAAATCCACCAGGCACTCCTCTGAAACCATATACATTGTCACTATGAGTTGGAACCAACTCAACAACACTTAACAACAAACCTCGATAGAAGCTGACTATCACATTTTTCTCCGGTGGAGTGTGGATGATGGGTTTGAACCACTGATCTTTTGGCTAGCAGTAAAGCACTTAACCAGGCCACCAGAGCTCCACTTGGACCCACATCACCAGTACCAAGTGCTGTCAAATCAATTCCAACCCCGGACCACCCCTCAGTGTCCAAGTACAGCTGTGCTTCACAGAGTCTCAGTGGCTAGGAGATTGTCAGGCCTTTCTTCCAAGGTGCCTCTGGGAGGACTAGAACCACCAACTGTTTGGTTAGTACCTGAGCACCTTAACTCTCCACTACTCTTTCTGTCAGTTTGCCATACTCCTGTGTGTTTCTGTGATTCTGGAAGTTATGCCACAGGTATTTTAAACACCAGCAGGGTCACCTATGGTGGGCAAGTTTCAGATGAGCTTCCAGATGAAGACAGACTAGGAAGAAGGAGAGACGAACTACTTCCAAATATTTGGTCTTTGAAAATCTTATCAATAGCAAAGAAACACTGTCAGATATAGTACTGGAAAATGAGCCCCTCAGGTTGGAAGGCACTCAAAATGCGACTGGGTAAGAGCTGCCTCCTCAAAGTAGAGTTGACCGTAATGACACGAATAGAGTAAAGCCGATGGGAGAAAAGCCCGCAGGACCTTCATTTGCTGATGGGGCACAACACAAAATGAAGAGAAACAGCTGTAAACATCCATTGAATATCGGAACATGGAATGTACAAAGTATGAATCCGAGAAAATTGGAAGTTGTCAAAACTGAAATGGAATGCATAAACATCGATATCTTAGGCATTAGCAAGCTGAAATGGACTGGTATTGGCCATTTTGAATCTGACAACCACATGGTTTACTATGCAAGGAATGACAATTGAAGAGGAATGGTGTTTCATTAATCATCAAAAAGAACATATCCAGATCAGTCATGAGGTACAACGCTGTCTGTAATAGGATAATATCCATGCGCCTACATGGAAGCCCAGTTAATATCACAATTATTCTAATTTATGCACCAATCACTAAAGCCAATGAGAATGAAATAGAAGAATTCTACCAACTTCTTCAATCTGAAATTGATCAAACATGCAATCAAGATGTATTGATCATTACTG